GCTGAGCAACGGGAGTGAGGAGAAGATTTCCCAAGGAGTTGAACTGCAAACACGTTCATTCACTCAATATGTCTACAAGTATATATATATATATTACACGTATATATATATATACTGTATATAGAGATATTATATATAGATATCTTATAGATTTACTGTGTACTACATATAATTAGTCTATGTATGTTGACGTGTTTACAACGTTTTTCAATCTTTCCAGCACCTGAGTGCTGCCCTTGTTGCCAATGACATTGGCAAAGCCCGTGGCCACCTGGCGACCCGCCAAAATCCTCAAAAAAAAATGCCATTTTCAAGGGAGAAACATGAATGTGAATGGTGGATATTATATGGATATGGGTATGGATCAATACCTATTAATACCATTTTTATGGGGATGAACATCCATTTACCAGCTATTTTGATGTTCACCAGGGGTACAAGGTCTTGACACACTGCTATATTGATATTAATGGTGATAATGGATAAATTCATATGAATGGTGGATAATACAGTTAAATATACTGTGGATCATGGATATTAATGGTGCTTCATGGTGATTTTCATGGTGATTTTCATGATGATTATCTGAGAAATGGATATGAAGATAATGGATATGAATGAAAATATGGAGGTGTCCTAAAAGGGGGATACCCCCAATAGCTGGATGGTTTATATATATAATGGAAAAATAAAAATAAAAATAAAATGGATGATTTGGGGTACTACCATTTTGCGCAACCTCCATATGATGTTTTAGGATACAGTAACCTATTTTTTAGGGAAACCTAAGAATCAGTGATATCAGTGGCCCAACATGCCACATCTCAAGATACTGGAGAAGGATTTTGTGCCTTCCAATTCAATTTCTGTCACTTTGAAAACCATATCGCGATTTAACTTGTTACATTATACCCTCCGGTAATCAACCGTTTTCTCCGGAAAATCCATTTGTCCTAAAAAGTTCCGGACATCTTCCCACTGCCACAAGGTGGTACGCCCCCAGTTACAAACCTCATTCACTATAGATATATAATGATATCTCTACAATATATCTACAATAAACCATAGAAATTACCTAGATTCATGCTCACCAACTTAGCAATCGTCAACGGCACCTTTCCCACAGCCATCTTTGATGACAGCCCAAGGCCCCATGACACGTTTTGGAAGGATCCGCCAGGTGCCCCGGCATGACACGTTACAACCTCTGCACAGTATTTCCACAAGGTGCGATGAAGGAAGACCATCAAATGAACGGCACCTCGACAGAGCATGGCTTAGCTGTGAGGATTCATAGGGGATTAAATCTATAGGGATTCATAGGGGATTACTAGGGACAACTAACCATGATAGGGATTAGTTATTTATTAAATGCACCAAACTGATGGTATACTAGATGTAAGTAGAGTTCTTGAAGTAAGAACTCTAAAAATGGACGAGAACGTACAAGTTGACTGGGGAGTATAGAGCCGGCTGCTGTGCAAGGTCACGATCATATCAGATCCACATATGAAGAAGAGGAGGACCAAAGATTGGCAGATCAAGGAAAAGTGGATAAAACATGAATTAAAAAATGGATAAAACATGATAAGACTATACTTTGATGATTTGATGATTAATTTTAGTTGACTGTTTGATAACCAACTAGCAGGCCATCAGACTAAAATTAAATCAAGCTATGTAAACATCAACAGGTGGCCAACACATCTTCAAAGAGGGAGTGATAGAAGCAAGAGGACATGCTCGACGGTTTTTTTTTCCTCCGGGGGCATGACCATGAAACGTTGGGATATCACCGATCGGTGAGGAATGAGGAGACAACTAACCAAAGTGGCTGGGTAGAATCTAATGGCAGAAACAGGCAGGGCTAACCAACAAAGATAGCGCAAAAACCGATGCAGAACAAAGCCAGTGTGCCCCCGTGCACGCAGTCGTGTCGGCAACCAAATCAATCGGGGTCATCATTGTTGAAAAACCACCAGTCCTGTTCAACTCCCCAATAGTTCAACTCCCCAATATTTCAACAATAAGAGAAAAGAAACATACTCTTCCTGCAATCAAACATGGCAATGGAAAATCTTCCATTTATAGATGATCTTCCCTAAAAAAAAACATTTCTAGAGCGATTTCCCAGCCATTTTGATGACACCGGGAATCCCATTGAACCACCGACCTGGTCGCAACTCGACTCAGCGCCCAGCTCATGGTGTTGGAACCAATCATCCGATAGTCCTCAGTTGTCGCTATCTGGAGGTTTCCTGAAATGGGGGTACCGCCAAATCCATGTATATAATAGGTTAATAGGATTGTCCAAATATTGTAAATCATCCATTTTGTAGCTCCATTTTGTTGGAAACCCCCGTTACTGGCGTCTCCCATCACAACCATGGCCTTTTTCGGAACGACCAGCAGCGCCCCACCAGGACGCCCCGAGAGGGTCCTGTCCGAAATAGTCCTGCATCTGCCGCTCCCAACGCGCCTGGTGTGAAAATCACCGGACCCACAACGACTGACACATATTGACACATTCAGTACTCATTTGGTGACCAACCATGTCAAGCCATACATATACAATAATCATATATAACGTATGCAAATACATACATAATCATATATATATACACATATGTATTATATGTACATATATATATATATACACTATACATATCTTCTATATGTATGTATATAATTGTATATATGTATAATTATACTGATCGGTAATGGAGAACCCATGGAAAATGCCTCCATAAAACCATTCTGTCTTCAAACATCAGGGACTTCGGCCCCCGAAGAATGCACTATAATAACTGGGTTACATCCCACTTGGAGATGGAAAAACATTGACGACCTCTCGGCGTTCAAGTGATATGAAAATATGGAATTGCTGAGCCAGGACAATTTCAAAACACACTCAGGCATATAATAATATAAGCAAAGCATGAACTGGAATTGAACTGGCGGATATGGGAGGTCCCAATTTTGCAAAAACCGCAAATATCGTATGCCATACTGCGTACCCCATGATCTCCCCACTTCAACCTTTTCATATAACGTAGTGGGTCAGGATTTAAGTCCCGGGGACACACAAATGAAATGGACATGTTTAGCATCAAAATCAAAACATCATAAGTTTGAATCCTCAACTCATGCCGCGTTCAGAACAACCATCCAAGTTTGCTTGCGGCACATATCCTCACTTCGTGCCATCCCAAATTGGATCATCAACAGCTTAAATCAATGTGAATAACTAGACTATATCAACTACACACCATTGATATCTACAATGTCTAGGCCATAAACATATTAAACATTCCTAACTTCTAACTCTGGATATCTCAGCCATGGAAGATTCCGCTCAAAAAAAACGGATCAGTTTTCCTTTCCAGGCCCCCTTTTGCCCTGCCTTGCTGGACCAAATCAAGGACTTTTCTAAAGATCTTTCGCACTCGCAGGTACCGATGGCATAGATATGATGCCTCCCACGGGAAGCGCCATTCCAGGCCACACAGTGGCCACACAATAGCGCATAGAGCGGCATGATTTAAAGCCAATATTACTGACCACTATCACGGCAATGTTTTTTAATAACCCGGTTATGGATGTTTATGGTAGTTGCTTGGGGATGGTGTATTTGGGGAGCACCCCTTGCCATGAACCCTGCACCTCATTGAGGGTGGGATCCAAGCGTGAAGATCTGATGGTGCCTTAGAGAAGGGAAGGCGTCATCAATCGGTATGATCCACGATATTTAGAGAGGGTTTAATAGATATTAGATATGATTCCTCTCTGTCTATAAGTACAAATCTCATTTCAGTAAATAAATGAGATATATAATGATAAATATATATATATACATACGTATACAGGCATCATATATATATATATATTCTGCAAATATATGTGTAGTCACCGCCCACTCATACATATTATACCACAATATATATATATATGTGAATATATCATAATATATCGTAATACATCTATCAATATAGATGATGGTGCACGTGGATGATTATAGTACGGCACGGGTCAAAGGTAATCTACTAATTGTGGTTCCCCCAGCCATAAAATTTGTCGCTCCACACCCACGCTAAATGGTTCGCCCAATTGCATCTCGATTAGATGGTGATTTCAGTTTCAATGCATTTTTAAATATGGGCCAGTCGGTGGGATTGCATGAAGCCACAAAAAAGAATGAAACCACCATCATTCAGCAACTGGGGCATCCCAACACGTTTCCCGTGAAGATTCCAGATGCCACAATAGACTCGGATTACCTGCAAGATGTAAAGTGGGCTGAACTGTTTTAGGTGTGAGTAAACAGTTGTACTTTGGCACAATGCCATGTTGGAAGATTTCCTCACTTCAAGTGGAAGATTGCCATCTTCAAATTCAGTGAGAAGCAGGTGGAAATAGCACGAAATGGTGAAGTCTCCTAAACAGACCGTCCTTTCACAGAGGGGTTGAAGGGTCCCAAAGACTCCTTGAGCACACATCAATAGGGCCATATTTGTCCCATGGCCCGGACAGGGCAGCTCCCAACCATCAACACCACCGTTGAAACACAGGCAATGTGACGAAAATTCATAGATATTCATATAGGAGTTAATATGTCTTCATAACCATAGACAGTTCTTGATACAGCAGGTATTCATAGATATGCATAGATCTTCATAGCGATAGACAATCGTAGATTCGTCATAACTAGAAAGTTACTCTATTTTATATCATAACTATAGATCCTCGTAGATATATAAATATATATATATATATATATGGCAGTGTGTCAAAACCTTGTACCCCTGGTGAACATCAAAATAGCTGGTAAATGGATGTTCATCCCCCTAAAAATGGTATTAATAGGTATTGATCCATAGCCAAATAATAATGGTGATGTTCCTGAAACAAATCCCAATAATGGTGATATATATATATAATATATATATATACATGATACACCCTATGGATCCATGGCCACTTTCTGAGAAGCTAACCGGCGTTCACCTGGATCCACTGCGGGACTTCCATTCCGGGATGCGCGCCTCTTCCATAGGCTGACCCTTAATGGATGCCACCTCCACCTGCCAGAACCCTGGATTTCACCCAACAACAGAAAGGTCATAAAATCGCCATAAAAGGAGATAAAAACATAGGGAAATTCATCCAAAACGGGGAGTTATGATGGTTAATTGTGGTTAATGATGGTTCTGATGGTTAATGATGGTTCTCTCTTTCTTCAGATCTGGGCGCGACTGTTGAAAAAAAACAAGTTCCCATGGTTTTAAATCCACATGTTCCCAGTCAAAATGTTGTCACAAACTGAGGTAAGTCTCACATTCATGGACAAACCCACCTTCACCAGTGGTTGCCCAATCTTTCTGCAAGAAAGTTGCTCATATTTTTCGGATCACTAGGGATGATTATCAAGGGCACTCTTCCTGGAAAACATGACTCCAACTGTTGAAATCAAATCTAATTAGTCTGTTTCTCTCCACCAGATTTTTCGTTGAATCTCTGAACCAATGTTGAACCTTAAGCACGGAGGTCTCATCTAATTACTGAAGTTTTGAGGGTTAACCATGTACCCATGCTTCATCCACCAATGAACAATGAACATCGACAATGTCCCCCCGGCCTCCTGCCATTGGTGAAAGCCCGGCGAAGTGCCCCTCAGAGCCGCCTACGGAAAAGCGGCAAATTCGCGGCTTTTCCGCTGTGAGGATTGCTGTTGTGAACGAGGAATAATGGATAGCTCCAAAAATTGTTGGATAATGGATAGATATATGCAAGTAGAAAATGGGGTTGTAAAATGTTTTAAAATGTTATAAACCAGCTCATAACTGGGGGCCCTGTGAGGAGGATAGTTGTTTTTACAAGAGCTCCTGTCACTCCGTGGTTCGGAACCAAAGATTAGGACTGAGATGATCCAACCGAGTTCTGGACACTGAGGTGTTCTTGCGGACTCACTCCTGGTGCCAGGCATGAAAAATGTCTGGTGCGCTTGAACCAGTTGCGCTTCTCACCCACAAAAAGAACCTTGGACCATTGGGCTAGTTACTTTTTGAATACAGGGACAAGAAAACATGAGAATGATGACGATGCCAAAGATGTGGCTTTGTCACCCAATCATCTCTGCCCCAGTGCCACATCTAACAGCTTGGGCCATGAGTCGAGGGTTGATGAGTTGCGACTCAGAATTGGATGCCCTTAGCTCCCAACATTTCGCCATTTCGTGGCTTATCCCATCTATTCTCGAAGTAAGTGTAAGTAACTATCTTTATTAACCACATTTATGATCCTCTTGGGATATTCACCACTATGTTTATTATAACTATAATATATAATAATATATAATAAGATATAATAATATATAATAATATATAATAATATAAAATAATAGATAATAATATATAACAATATATAATAATATATAATAATATATAATAATATATAATAATATATAATAATATATAATAATATATAATAATATATAAATAATATATAAATAATATATAAATAATATATAATAATATATAATAATATATAATAATATATAATAATATATAATAATATATAATAATAGATAATAATAGATAATAATATATAATAATATATAATAATATATAATAATAGATAATAATAGATAATAATATATAATAATATATAATGATATATAATAATATATAATAATATATAATAATATATAATAATATAAAATAATATATAATAATATATAATAATTAATAATAATATATAATAATATTTAATAATATATAATAATATATAATAATATATAATAATATATAATAATATATAATAATATATAATAATATATAATAATATATAATAATATATAATAATACATAAGAATATATAATAATATAATAATATATAAGAATATATAATATATTATAATATATAATAATATATAATAATAATAATAATAATAAATAGTATATAATAATATATAATAATTTATAATAATATATAATAATATATAATAATATATAATAATATATAATAATATATAATAATATATAATAATATATAATAATATATAATAATATATAATAGTATAAAAAAATATATAAGAATATATAAGAATATAAAATAATATATAATAATATATAATAATATGAAATAATATATAATAATATTATATAATAAGATATAATAACATATAATAACATATAATAACATATAATAATATATAATATTATATAATATGTAATAATATATAATAATACATAATAATACATAATAATAGATAATAATATATTATATTATATATTATAATAAATAATAATATATAATAACATATAATAAGATATAATAATATAAAATAATATATAATAATATATAACAATATATATAATAATATATATATATTATAACTATATGTATACCCAAGATGATCCTCCAAGTGGTGCAACAACGTTGTCCTTCAATTTGCGACCCAAACCCAAAGGCGCCTGGTGATGGCGACGGCGGAGTCACATCTTCCACCGGACCATCCAAAGGTGCGTCCTGAAACGACCAGCGAGCTTCGGATCCTTCGGATCCGACACCGAAATTCGCACGGCTTCAATGGATTGGGCAAAAAAGGATGGTTACTAACAGTGTTGAACTCTCCAAAAATGCTGAAACAAATTTGGATTTAAATGATTTAAACCACATCCGATCATGGATTTCATTGATTGCAGTTGAAGATGGATCGGTGGATTGGTTGAAGGCAATTTTTCGGACACCGGAAAGCCTGGTGATTTACCATAGAGAATGGAGCGGTTCCTGTAAATTCGGTTATCATCATTTGGGATATGTTATAATTACAGTAGTTATGTGTAGTCGGTTATAATCCTCTGTTATAATCATTATTTTCTGTTGTAATCCTGTAGTGGGATATGTGTTGGAAAATCGAAACACATCTATCATTGGGTGAAAGGGAAAGTGATTTTCATGGTTTTTGCACCATCAAAAACCTGAGGGTTACTGTCGTGTTTTCCTTGCCGCGATTCCGGCAATCAAAACTGGTTGGTCATAGATGGCAATAGTATTCCAGTAGAAAACTAGAAAAAACATGAAACATCATTGATATGAATATTCATTGAGCCATCATAATATTCATTGAGCCAATCATCGGTTTAAAAATATGAAAGTCGACTCCAGAAAATCTGGGCCAAGGTTCTTATTGGTAGGTCAAGGGCTTTAATTTCTTGCTATCAAACTATGGCAATTTTGATGGTGGAAATTGGTGGTTGCATGGATTTAACCCATCAAAATGGGATCATCCGAAACGCAGTTGGGACCATCATGATTTCAGATGCAGCGAACAAAACGTGTATATATATACATATATAGGCATCAATCATATGTGATGAGTTTTTCGTTCATCACCAAAAAAGTCCAATGTGGATCTGTTTAAATCAAATAATCATAAAAATTATCATATAAATCATCATAAATCATCAAACATAATCATTAAAATCATCATCAATAACGACAAAAATCATCAAAAACAATCAATGAATTTCAACAGGCCAGGTTTCACCAATCATAATTCCATGGTTTCACCAGTTTCACCCGCCAAGAATCAGCGTCAAAAGAACCCCAGTTTTTCACCAATCAATTGAACCATTCAACCGTATGAAAATCCCATCATATTCGTATCGTCCCATAGAAATCACAAAAGGTTTTTTTCATGATCCAATCCATAAGCGATCCATTGATGATCCATTGATTATCCCATAGAAAATCACCATGGATTATCCATTGATTATCCATTGATTATCCAAATCACCATGTTTCAATGTTTTTTTTAGAACAACTCTTTCTATGGCCATTATCCCATGGAAATCACCACGAAAAAACCCTTGCAGAACGCGAAACCCGGCGGCCCGGGTTCATCTCACCTGTGCAATGGCTCCAGGTGGAAGCTCCTGAGGATCCGATCCCACGGTTTTTTTGGGACGAACATATAGATACTGTATATATATATATGTATATACTACATGAAACTATATACTAAGTTATATAATTACATATACTAGATTATATCTATTAATAATATAGTTTACATATCTTATATTATATTGTAATATATATATATATGATAATATATGCATATAATATATATATATATATATGGGATATGTGCGAGTATCATCTGGGGTTAAAGATGTGGAATACTTCTGGATTTGAAGCAACCACTTTGAGTTCAGAGCTCCGAATCACTTCAGAACGGGCGGTCTGAAGACTCGCTACTGTAGAAGTGAAAATGATAGACGTGTCATAAACTCACATAACTATGGAAAATCACCATATTTTAATATGTTTAATAGGTAAATAAACTTAATAAACTATAAATTGCAAAAAGTCAACAGCTATGTTAGGGTAACCGAAGGACATGGACATCTCAATTGCACTGCGGTTGTGATATGTTGAAATAGTATTCAACCCCAAACTTAAAGGGCAGAGAACATCGCATCCCTTTCTCTGAGACATTTTGCTGTGTCCCAGATTCATCGGGACCAGCAAATCCACCACTTCATGACTTAACTTGAGGAAATTAATGATATATGTCAGGGACTCATATCTATCATCATATTTTGCATCATGTCTTCTTCCTACTTGTTTTGCTGATTGATCCTTCATTGGTGGTTCTTGATTCAAACAGTCCTCGAAAAAAAAAATGATGGTTTCACCCTATCTCCAGGAATATGAAAACCAATTGGGATTCGCGTCCCATGTTTAGGGATGTGAAACCACAAAGACTGCCACGATTGAACTGTGCAACCAGAGTTTGGGGATATCCCCTTGTTATCCCCACCCAGTCGTCCTCATTCTTTCCACTGTCCAGTACTACATTGGTTGTATGTCCCCATTTGTATTGTCCGTTATAGTTATATCAATTTATATCATCTTATCTTGCCCATATTTTGATGAATTATACCATCCATTTATATTAAAATTGGGGATGGTTGATATTGCTTTACTAACATTAGATCATTGTCCGCTCCTAAAAAAAAAATAGATCATTAGATCAGTGCATTGGCTAACCATCCCAATCAATGATCTGATGTTAGTACATCCAATGGATCTTCACATTTCTACATTTCGCACTTTGGCTCCCCCCGCTGGCGCATCGCAATCAGCGGCTTGGGCCTGGCTCCAACAAACAAATGGTTGCTACCCATCAGTTTTTACCAGCAAATCCAGGGCTAAAACCTGTGGTTTCGACATACCCAACCAGAAATAGGGGTGTCACAAATTCTACAGTATGTACAGTATGTAGCTATTTTGACATGTACCCAATTGAGATTTATTGACCTGAGATTGACGTTGTCCTGTTGAGTTTGCATACCGTCTATGTAAATGTTATTGTTGGTAAACTGGAGAGTATCTCTGATCCTATGGATTAAAATATTCAAGACCTCAAGTTCCCCAGATATTGATGGCCATATTACTATATTGGGTGATGTATCCCTCGTTTCCGCACAAAGAAATATAATACAGAGATATTGGGGACCCCAAAACCATGTATATTATATGTATATACTACTTTTTGATATCTCAATGAAAGAACTTCATGAGTACCAGCTAATGATGCTAATGGATATAGCTGTGCATATGTATCATTGCCAAGATCTTGGATGATTTTGGGGTCCCCCATGGTATCCCCATGGCCTCCCTGGCCGTTCGTATGGGCCCCCTCTCGGGCGCAGAGGGCTCGGCTGCGGGCGCCATAGCCTGCCATATCGGCTTGGTAAACATCTTTCCATATCGAGTTTCCATCATTTATGTTCATATATTTTCATATATACCAGTACTTCCAAAAAAAAATGGTTTCTATAAAAAGTCTTCGAAAACGATGTTTTTCATATTTTTTCCGTTCTTTTACAATAAACATCAGTTTCAGATCAGTTGTTTTCCCAGAGATTCCATACATTCCGCCCCATCGGGGCCACGGCTGAAAAAACGGGGTCGTCATCAGCGTCATCACCGATCGCCTCCGCGGGGGTAGAAGTGGTGTATCATCCCTGATATCCCTGGATATATATGAGCGATTGTGAAAACCCTAGGTTCACGGAAAGGACATCCACAAATTTGGGAAGGTCCCATCGCTTACCACACGTTTGTACAATAATGATATATGGTAAACTTGGGGGGTATCGCTTGCAGGAAACTGCTGCATTTATATATATATATATGTGATGAACTATGAATAATATGTGATATTTGGGTATCGCTAATGTGGATATTAGAGAAATATGATGACATAACCTTGGAAAGGGGTATCGCTAATTTGGGAAGGTCCCATCGCTTACCTCGTGTTTTGAACAATTTCCATCAATTTCCATAAACCAATGTCCGTCGAATACATATTTAGTATTGCCGGGGTTTTTACGGTTGCTCATATATATATATATATATACATATATATATAGGTTGTATAGGTTATATAGTGTATATCTGTATATCTGAGTCGTATCTGTATATAACTATCTATCTATCTATCTATCTATATATATATGGTGTGTGCGTGTAAATATATAATCTTGGGTATGTATATATATATATATATTATGTAGCAGATAATATATATATATATAATTATATATAATAATTATATATAATATGTAGCAACAACTCAATGGATAGAAATGGTTCAATTCATCACTACATAATCAAATCAAGTGAGAAGATTCCTGTAATCAAACCGGCACTGGTCGTTCTGAATTGGTCGGGAAAATCTACAGGAAAGCCCCATCCCGTGGACACGGGCCTCTTTTTGGACCGATTCCAAGCTTTGTGACCTGGCTTGTGGGTCGGGAATCCCTGGTCAGTGCAAACCCTCCGGTAATCAAACATGGCTAGCCCGAAAATCCTCGTTTTTATAAATCCTGTTTATGGCAGTAATGCATCTTCTAGCTGGGAAAAGCATCTACCCTCTGGTAAACTAACATAACTATGGAAAATCACCATGCTATTCATGGGAATTTTCACTATTTCAATGGCCATTTTCAATAGCAAACTGTTAGTCATTACCAGAGGGTATATGATCTAGATTCATGATGGATTCTCCAGCCGTGCTGACCGGAGGATATATCAAGAATGAACAGATTGGGGATTCCACCGGTGACCCGCTGCCATGCTGCTGCTGCTGCAGTTTTTGACATGTGGCCCACTTTGAGCACGTTGTGAACCAGTTCTAAATTGGATAGATCCCAAATATTCTGTTTGGGGATAAACACTTGGTCATATATGACTATCAACAACTTGCTACTGTATCCAGGGTTGCTCTAAACACCGGTACAAGGGGGGTAAATAACGGGTAGATATGAAGCTAAAATGACCCATAAAAAAAACATCCCACAAATATCCAAAGCAATCCTGGGATTCCACCCTTCATTAATCACCATGAATCGTCACCATAAATCATATACCCTCCAGTAAATTAACATAGACCCTGGCAGACAGGGGTTGAAAGACTAGTTTCCACTAGAGTTATTGGGTGTTTTCAGAGTCTATGTTAATTTACCAGAGGGTATTGATCATTCCACTAATCACCATTAATCATTCCATTATTAATCACAAATGATAATGACCACTATTAATTGCCATACCATACCATGAATGATCATTAGTGATAATGACCACTATTATTTACCAATAATGACCATCATAATACCATGAAATCACCATTACCCTCTGGTAAACTAACATAACTATGGAAAATCACCATGCTATTCATGGGAATTGTCACGAAAAAAAGGACCATTTTCAATAGCTATGTGGGAATGGGTCAAAACCTTGTACCCCTGGTGAACATCAAAATAGCTGGTAAATGGATGTTCATCCCCCTAAAAATGGTATTAATAGGTATTGATCCATACCCATGTTAATCATTACCGGAGGGTAATCATCACTAATTGCCATGGAAAGAGCTCAGCATCCGCGCCTCTGTGAGACTTTGTCATCCTGTCTGTCACGACTCAAGGGCTCCAAGGGCTCCTTCGTCATGGTGATTCGATGAAACATGTGCGTGTATTACACTACTGTATAATTACTGTATGTATATATATATATATACTATGACTAGCGTTTACATATATATATATACATACATGCTCCATCATATATTACAAATATAGGATCATAAAGGCATACAGTCTACAGATAGTAGCATTAGTATAGAGAATGGGGTCCCTGCAAAACAAAGGAAGTTTTACCATCACGCCCCAAGCCACGCTCCTCATCGTCCAAATAGTAAGCTTTTTCTTCCTGAGACTCTGGGATTCCCATGGGATCATGGTCCCGGTAGCATTTGGAGGTTCCCTCAAATAGGGCTACCCCAAATCATCTATTCTAAGAGGTGTCCATTCGAAACCATCCATTTCGGGATATCTTGGGGTACAACCATTTTAGAAAAAAAACTCCATTTATCTTGGGGACCCTTTTTTTGCGGCTTGCTATCCATCGAAGCCCTTGAAATGAAACCGCTGACTTGAAGTTGATGGACGGAATCATCCTGGCATCATCCTATTGAAATATCCCGAGGTAAAGAAAACAAAACAGTATCAATTATACCATCAATAAGCATGAGAAAAAATCAACTCAAAAGTCATCTTTTTATCATCAAGAATCCTCAACAGCCATCAATAACCATCAAGAAGCATCGACAATAACCATGATCATCAACAACCATTAATGTTAGTAAAGCAATAATAGACCACCCATATGTTGATGCTTCTTTTGGCACCGGTACAAATGGTCAGGACTTGGGAACGGTTTAGCAAATTGCTTCACCAATATCAATACCACATTCATGAAAACATTTTAGTATTGAAACCTATGATTTGGAGATCCCCCATGACTTAGGAAACCCTAGGAAGATTCAAGGATCATCATCAATCAGATTCGACAACCATTCATTTGGGGGGTTCTCAAGACAGTGGTACCCCCCCCAAACCTCCTAAACCCGTGGTTTGGAAACAGTACTAAGTCATGGTCATCCATAATTTGGATGATTTGGAGGTATCCTCATGGCTTTTGGACCCCCCCACAAAATGGTAAGTCATAGGTGATCATGATTATAATCACCATATAATCACTATAAAATCACCATATCATCATCATTTTATCCTAGAATTTCATATATTTGGGGATCATCAACATCGCAACATCGCGCCTCACCAGGCTCCTCGCTGCCCTCTGGGGCAACAGCCTTGGAGTTTCTGAACCAAAAAATGGTGGATTCACACTGGAAAAATGGTGGATTCACCATGCGAATGGGGCGTATTGAGAATGGAGTGGAATATGCCCTCCGGTACTCAAACGTGGCGTGCTGGAAAATCTTCCATTGATGATCTTCCATCAAAACCTCCATTTGTAGGGGATTTCCCATGATTTCCCATTGCCATGTTTGATTTTCCAGAGGGTAACTACATGATAACGTCGTTTGAGCCAGAAAAAAAAGCGCCTCCTCATACTGGTCATCAGCGTCTTTCCACCAAATTGGGCCATGTCATGCCATTTCGTTGCTTGGAATCCAGGAACCTCCCGTAAGACATATTCCCATTAAACATATTCCCTATAGATTCCCCAACTTCCCACTAGGAAAATGAAGACCACCTTAAGTCAACCCAGGGTTGTAGTATGTTGTAGTTACCCAGTCTCACAGGAAAAATAGGAAAATATACACACTTCACACCCCTGCCTCGTCGTAGCTATCATGTCTGGCCACGGCCACTGCAGCCATGCGCAGTGGCGTCGGCCTTGCCAGACTTTCTGTACGACCGCTCAGCTTGTCCTGTTGATACCCTCTGCAAATCAAGCATGGCTTGCTGGCAAATCCCCCATTTAGTTCCATGAAATTCCCATTTGAATATCCATTTAGTTCGGGGATTTCCAATTGCCACCTTTGATTACCGGAGAGTCTTCCATCTTATTCCAACCCCTGGCATGAAAAGACCAAAATTGCAGCCCGCCTCTATTCCCCGCAGAAGCACTTTCGCAGTCTGCAAGTATGAAGATGTCAACAGAAATAATGGTTGTTGCTCCTCTATGAGGTCCCAGGGGAGATTTCATCTGATGTGGTGTTGCAGTCGGGGGGTCAAAGACATCCGAGTTGAAATTGCCGCCAAGCAGGCCAAACTGCTCAAGATACGCTTGCTTTGCCAAAGACAAGTGGTTCAAAATATGATTAAAGAGTGAAGCTTTTGCACGCGGTGTGGCTACCTGGTTGGTCAAAGGCACTTTGATATGCAGTAAGTAACTTTAAACAATTAAACCATCTTGAGCGTGTCAATTCCATGTAAGCCTTTTGAGCCAGCCGCGGACAGATTCGCCACAGGTATCCACAGAGTTCGCAAGGGAAGAAATGGCAAAAACCAGGCAAACAAAGGAGGTTACAACTGACAGTGTCCAGCGATGTTTGGAGTCTGTCAAACACAGTTGGACGTGTGAGAACTTCTCAAAAGACACATGAGTGCGCAACCGTTCATTTTGAGCTGCAAATGCAATGTTCATGCCTCAATTTGCTCCACGATCGGGCCACACATGCCAAACAACACAACAATGTCATATAGCCAAGTGGAACTATCATCCCAAATGAGACACAAATGAAAACAGAGAAATGGTTGAATTCAACAAGAACATCCCCGGATATCCCCAGTGTTGCCCATGATACCAGTGGTTGGGCAGAAAATACAGCCGCGACTGAAACCACTAATCGGATCTAGTCGGTGAATGATGTCCGAGCTGCCACCAGGTTAGCCCAGTTTGATCCCGGTGAATTTTGGTACCCTCTGGTTATGTCAAAATAGCTATTGAAAATGACCATTTATAGTGGATTTTCCCATGAATAAATGGTGATTTTCCATAGTTATGTTAGTTTACCAGAGGGTAGATTCCAAAAATTTTTGGATTCCACCAATGGTCAACTGGAGGAAAACTGGAGGAACACAAGCATTTCCAGCTACAAGCCTTGTATCAAACTGCTGCATCCTGGGGAGATCCTGGATGTGCTCAGAATGCCTAGGCCTAGACGCACCAACGAGTTGATGAAAGATGAGGATCACTAACCAGCGCAGATCTCTGTGGTTTCCGCTGACAGCGGGCTGAAGGGCTTGGATTCCTGGTGGCATATGAACCCGCAAAGATTGGACGACTGATGGCCAATGATCACTCCCCATATCAGCAATGACCCTTTCGGATGGCTCCATCGGTTTTCATCATCGCGTCTGTTTCGCCTGCTGTTGTCTGTTTCGCCTGCTGCACGACGTCCGTTTACAGGAGCACCAAGGGAACGAAGCAATGAAAAGGGTGGTTCCAAAGCCTGCAATGAGCATCCGATGTCATCCCCAAATCGGTCAGTTGATCGCAACAGTTCTGGGATTTGTCCGCAATTCCGATTCAACTCAGACCGGTCAGTATACGTTTACATAAAGACTCCATAGATCTATTTAACCATCAACCGCAAGGACTTTTGGGCATTGCTCATGTGGCCACTCACCAGTTGTGGCTTAGAATTACTGTATCTATCACCCAGTCTCAAACCCAGCATATTCCAGTCATGTAGAACCCCAGTAAAGAGTAGTATGCGTCCATATCTCTGGGTGGTTGCGTCCATCCAAGTCAAAGATACTTGTAAATGCAGATAACCAACGAATTCAAGTAGAAAGTGATTAATTATGATTAATTAGATAAGTTCAGTAGTGAGAAACTAACTTAAACATACTTAAAGTATCTTAAAGTATCTTAAAGTAACAGCAACATCGCTTCAAACACCCAAAGCACAGATGTTTTTTATTAATCATATGAATCGCCCCAATTGGTACAGCCTCTGCGACTGCGATCTCTCCTGCTGCTCGGGTTGTGCCATCCTCAAGGCCAAGAAATTCCCAATGGCAACAGCAATGACGAGATATCATCATGTTTATCATGATATTCATGATCATATGATCATCATGTTTATCAATTCTAATGTTATGAGATATGATATATGATGATTATGATGATTCTGATATCAATTCTCACAACAATATCCATGATCATAAACGGTTTATCGTATGTAAAAATCATGAGAAGCAAGAAAACTATGGGAGTTTTGAAGCAATTAAATCGCAATCATTGGACCTGTAAACTTCGAACGAACCAACGAAGCATATGCTTGATGATAATTGGTGTCAAAACTTTCTGCTTTTTTATCTGGAGCTTTCCTAAAGTGCTACCCTCTGGTAAACTAACATAACTACGGAAAATCACCATGTTTAATGGGAAATTCACTATAAATGGCCATTTTCAATAGCTATGTTAAATTACCAGAGGGTTTTCCCATTAAAAATTGTGATTTTCCATTGTTTTTGTAGGTTTACCAGGCCGGGTAGCCCCTAAAGTCATGATCCAAGCCATGGATGACCGCGGATGATCCCCATGAGATCCGACCGGTCCAAGGTAGCGCTGGAAGAAGTCGTGACCTTCCAAGGTCCAACAGCTAGGGCCTGGCACTGATGGATCCACAAAAATAGTGGGGGATGATGATCAATCCACATAGAGACTTAAGAGACTTATAATATATATATATATTATATATATGTGTATATATATGTATGTATATATGTATATGTATATATATATTCTAATTATAATCTTATATACCCATAATGGATATGGATCGATGACCAGATAGCATATACCATGTTTTGATTTTGACCCTAGCACATGTGGCACTTAGCATTGAACATTGAAAGTTGGCTTGTCACAATGGTGATTTGAGAATCAGCAGGTGCTTTTCGAAGATCATCTGGGAATGTCCAGTCCAAAAGATACAATTTTCTATGGCAAGCCCAAGCCAAACGGCTTACTGTTTCTTGAATCAGGATTTGCCACACTATTCCACAAGCCTTGCGAACATATCCTCGTTCAGACCAAATTTTAGCTTACCACGGTCTGACGCATAGCTCACAGACGAAAGTAGATGGAGGATCTTATCATAGTGGGAAAAACATAGGATATGAACCATTAATCATCATTAATCCATATTAATCCTCATTGCAAACAAATACCTTTGCCATCCTTTGCCATTTTGGGGATGATATTCCCACACCATGTCATAGTGAAATCCCTCGTTCATCCAAGGTCGCCTGCGAGCCATCTGAAAGGCTGCTTCGCTGGACCTGAAGCGACAGCGAGATGAATTTCTAACCAGAAAATCAGATTGGACTGATGGAAAACACGGATTTCACTCAGAAATCGAGAAGTTCCAACAGAAATGGGAACTCTAAGAGGCATGGCGTTGTTTCAAAATGTTTCGACCAACAAGTATTGTGGATCTATGTAGCAAAACACGGAGGTTGCCAACAGAAATCTGGATGAATCAGGGATGTCAGGAAGAATTTAGTCACCAAATTGTGGAGGACATCGGAAACAAAAAGTCAGACTTTGAGCAGCAAAAAGGAGAAGACTCTGGAGGTATTTCTATCAATTTTGTGTCATTCCATGCGTTCCGAGATCACTAGAATCGTGCTTTGATTCTTTGAAACCATTGTTCCAAACATATGTTTCTGGTTTCTCTCAAACTAGCTTACCCAAGAACTTGATGGTTCATCATAAATGTCCCTTCCAAAATAGCTTTTTAATAGCCATGTGCACATGTTTTGATAGGTTTGCGCATCCCAAATTTTCAGACAAACCCCGTCATGGTAATGAACAACAGCGCGCCTGGCATCGGTGGCTTCCCCTACTCCCACATAGGCCGAGAGCCCAAGGTTCGCAGACAGGTAGCTGCGTAAAGTCGTCCTGGAACTGGAAGAAACCCAGATCTCCGAAGTGGAGGATAGTGGAGGAAAATTGCTATTGTGGTAAGCCCAATATCCAATTTTAGGTGGCAATCATTCCTGGTGAAGTTGGTACATGGTTTACTTTGGGTTTATGACATTCGTAATTAGTAATCAGTATTCAATAATATTCTTCTCAGATTCATTCAGAATAGGATATTATAGTATATTATAGTAGTATATTATGGTATATTATAATGCTGTCATTTGTAGCTAGTAAGAATATCAATCTCTCATATTTACGACATGTCAGTTTTATCGCTTCTTCTCCCGGGTTCTTTGTGGGAAACCCTGGGAAAAACCCAGCTCTCCTTCGATCTGCCAAGAGAGTTGTGTCCAAGAAGTGGTCTAGTAGCCTCACTTCACAAGGCATCCATTTGGCAACAAATCTGGCAACCTCGTCACAAATGGGGACAAACCATTTTCTGAAAAGACAAACTTGGTATATTTTCTGAAAAAGTTCCTGATGCTGACTGGGATTCGCCCATTTTTTCAGAATTGAAGAAGTCGGGTTGTGGACCCTCAAGTCCAACATCCAGCCCTCTGAAATCCTTGAATTTGCTGGAAACGGCTACAGACTTCAGAAAATCGGCCAGCCTTTGCAGCGTAAAAGCACTGGTAAATTCTACTTTGAATCTTGGGTCTCCGAAAGATATGGAAGATCTCTGCGTTCATGATTTACTTTGGGAGCATTTATTGGCACATCACCCCCGCAGCGACCAAGACCTAATGAACTACTTGCTATACTTTGAAAGAACATCCAGCAAATAGTCATCATACAATTTCCATGTCGAGATAAAAACTTTCGCGCCTGCGGTTGCAACTGGTGATCACACAAATGCACGGAACAACTGATGTTGAGATCTGTAGACCACCTGTTTTACAGTTGTATTCTGATGATTCTGACCCTTTGAACCACCAT